AGGGCTCGATTTAACTTCTCGTTTTTCTCCTTGAGCTGGGCTTCATCTATAAATTCACCGTGAAGATCCTGCTCATACAGGCTAAGTAGGCCTTGTGCCCGGGACCTTGTGAAAGGCTTCCGCGGTGGCCGTGAGGTCGCTCGCCATGGTCTTGATATCGGTGTCATCAGTAGTCTCTTCAACTGACCAATCAGATCCATAACCAGAGTATAATACCACCAACTGACGTGATACAACTCACTTTGACTCTGAAGATGACTACCGCACAGGTTGTCGAAACGTCAGTCACTGTCAACAACAACTGTCCTATTCAGGACTACGTTCACCCGGACGAGATAAGCCTCGTTGGTGCCTTCCCTTGCCTTCCATATGCCTTCCTTTAATTAAACTGCATATGGTCTAGTCAATGACGTCACCCATTGTTATAACCTAGGAAAAAAGTGCCTTCCTCCATACTAATTATGTGCCTAGTCACTGCCTTCCCGCATACTAATTTGGATTTCCTGCATACTAATTAAGTGTCTTCCTGCATACTAATTCGGTATAGGTTTACTAATGAGCGTCACTCTACTACAATAGGAACAATAGGCTTGCCTAGACTTGCCCGGTAAGTAACTTGAGCCCGGTTTTCAGACCTTCTATTAAAAGGAAAATAAGAGCGATCACCTAGCAACGCGAGAAACGGCTTCCTATATCTTATTTAGCGCTAAAACTCGGATATATATAAACAAAACATACACAAATTGGAGATGTGAACTCTTTATTTCAAGTTTGTCTGACTATTACAGAAATGTTTTCTCCTTTCTATCTCGAGGAAAAGAAAAACTATAGAAGTCTTGTCATTTTCACGCACGGTTAATCAGTTAATTATGCGAGTTCACAAATTAATAAATTAGTTCATCTTAAATAACTTAAGAAGGATCAATTGGAACACGCGACTAATAATTGCTAGCAATAAAATCGCAAGAGAAATACCGTTTTAAAAACTTTTTAAAAACTTTATTAAAAGTCAATAACAAAAAGAGTCAAATACACAGCGATTTGAAAGGAAAAGGGATGAAAATAAGATAATTTACCGTGAGAATTCAACATCCTGCAATCACTACATTAAAGAGCGTCTAGCGTCAGAGCATAGCAGGAAATCATCATCACCTTCACGGCCCAAAAGCTATACGCATATAGCTATTCAGGAGCATGCACTTTGGAGAAAACCAAAGAAAGTAACTTTGAGATTAAAGAAACTTTATAGTGCTTAAGAACTGCATCTAAGATCAAATTAATCCTGTTCAAACCACACCGGAAACCACAAAACAATTACTAAATGTCTTATGACCTCTCAATGTCAATGTATGACTAAAATACTCCATGCACTACATAACCTACATGCTAGAAAAATGGACAACCATTGTTGTTTCAATGCATACTGTAAGGCGGTCACGTTTCACACTATCACGGGCTTACGGGTCGTGTTCAGCCTGTCAACACCGGCTTTGATTTCCTTTGTGAATCTTTTGACGTTTCTCTATACGAATGTCGATTGATACATGTTCAAATATATATTTTAAAACCTCAAAAACTATTCTGACTCTGACTGACTAGTCTGACTCTCGCGCGCCCGTTCTTTCTTTAACCCACATACTTCCAAGCGCCTGCTACACAGGCTACGTTTGGTGAGTGGATATTTATTGTTCTTTAACAATTTGCTCAACTTCACCAGATGTATCAGGGAAAGACAGGAAAGTGAATATATAGCATGAGGATCGACTCAGCTGAGCGTTTCGCGTTTACATTTATGTACCGCAATACCCAATTTCGCACAAAAACCCAGGCTATATTTAGGACGAGAAACGTAGGTACATCATTCTTTGATTCTTTGGTACGGTTATACTGAAGCATTCGAAATAGCTCATGCGCGTTAAACGTACCTGTGTTTACTAATTAGTGCTATGGGGCTAATAGTCTTTGAGCTAACTATGGTTTAATACTAGAATTAATTGCAAATTAGGGAAGTGCGTTCGATGTGGGGGGGGGGGTGGGTAGTGGGTGGTGGGGATAAGGGGGTGCAAAACTTGATGACCTTGTAAGATTGAGAAACTAAAATCAAACATTTTTATCAATATGATTTGAAGCGAGAAGTCATCTGAGAATTCCTTACACAAATAATATAAAACATTGGGCACATTTAGGAATACAAAACTAAATACCTCTTTTTAAAAATGTTCTGTTTACAGGCGTAACGTTCTTTGGAGCACTGGACAGAAATGAGCATTTTACAGGCCGGAAAAAGGAGGTTGAATCATTGGACAAAGCTTTTGAAGAAGTTAACACTACAGGAGCTGGTCTTAGTAGCGGTAAGAGAAAGGCTAAAGTTCATGGTATTTGCGGACTCGGGGGCTGTGGGAAGTCGTCTCTGGCTTTCGAATATTCTTGGCGCAAACTGGATCGTTACCCTGGAGGTGTTTTCGTGATAAATGGAGAAAGTGATGAATTGTTGCGAGCGTCTCTTCAAGAAATCCATAGAGAGTATGTACACAAGACCCAACCTGTCAAGCACGAGGAAGCGACACAATTTAATCAATTAATAACTGAAACTCTTTCGTGGCTGGGTAATCTAAGAGAAAAGTGGCTTTTAATTGTAGACAACATGGATCAAAAGGAACTAAGCTCCTGCGCACAAAAAATGTTTTTTGGCCAGTGGAAAAACAAAACTATAGGTGACATTCTTGTTACTTCCCGTAGAAGTTCTGAAGCGTTGTGTGAGGACCTAGGTCTTCCTCCTGAAAACTGTCTTGAGTTGAATGCTTTTACTCTCGAAGAATCAACAGAATTCCTAAAGAAACGCACCGGATTAGAATCCTGCGGTGACGATCAAGAGCAAGTAAAACAACTTGCCCATGAGCTCGGTGGATTACCTTTGGCTTTAGAGCAAGCCGCTGCTTACATAAAAGCGTTAAAGTGCTCAATTCAGTCATACCTTGAGCAGTATCGTTCCCAAAGACTGACCCTGTTAAATGGAAGAAGCGCTAAACCATGTTCAGAGATCTATGATAAGGAGCGTCTTGCGGTGCAAACTACATGGCTTCTCAATTTCAATTATATAGAAAATGACAAAACAGATGAAGGACTCGGAAAGGCAGCCTCTTTCTTCATGAAAATTGCGACTTGTCTGTCCCCAGACGATATACCTATTGAAGTTTTGAATGTCGGAGCCCCAGAGATTAAACATGAGTATTTAAAGAATCGTTTGAAGATGCCAGTCGGTTCCAACCAAATTATTGACTTGTTGGTTAGGTTTTCTCTGTTCAAACGCAAGTCCGATGGCAGCTTGACTGTCCATCGACTTGTTCAAGAGACGTTGAAAAAATATTACGATGTGGCAGGTGAAAATGATGAAGTTATTTTCTCTGCGATTAGAATGTTGCACCATGCATTTCTCAATTGTGTTGGGGGGACGGACTTCCTTCATGATTTGCATAGGAATCTGGATTCTCGGAGAGGTAATGCAATGATAGGCGCAGGCCAACACTTACAACAGGCTTTTGGCTTACCTTTATATGAGGTCAAACTAGAAAGTCAACGTTGGAAAAAGCTCTCATTGAATGCTTTTTCTGTATTTAATAATATCTGGAGTAACAATTCATTATTGAAGCCTTGCCATTTCCGCGAGGAAACTGCCAGGTTATCTTGCGAAGCAGCTTTGTATTGCTATTCTTTGGGGAGGGAGAGTGAAGGATACCGCTTTCAACAGTTGGTTTTAGACATTTTATGCGCGGTGAAAGAGCCTATTCGTTTTTATAAAGACGACGAGCTAATGAAAGTAACAAAGATCTTATCACCCTTCCAGGACCCGTTTTGCCTTTCAAAAAGGTTAATGAAACCGACTGAAAACATATGCGATGGAACAGGCGTCCCAGAAGGCACCAATCAAGCCAACGAATTGTTAGAAGATATTTTAAGGATGGAGACAAAAGCAAGAAAAGTTTTCACCGAGAAAGATTTCCAAACATGTAGTGAATTATGCACTGAAATTGTTAATATGTCGAACACAGTAAACCAGCCGAACATTCGTCCTCTTGGAAAGATCTTTTGTTATCGTGGCATTGCGAATTTACAGTTGAAAAACTTTGAGGCAGCTGTTGATGACTTCAATGCGTCTATACGCGCAAACACTGAGCTTTACCGTAGCTACTACTGGAAAGCATACGCATTCTGCAAACTCGTTGAACATGGTAGAACCGAGTTCGCCAGCAGAGCTCAAGCTGCAACAGCAGTACTTCGTTTTAAGTTTGCACATTCCAAACCACGTGATATTCAGAAGTTAAAACGTACATTTAAAAATGTAGGAGGCCTAGTTCTTGATCAAATTGAATACAGGTTCGTTGACCAAATTAGCCAGCTTAAAGACCTGGAAAGTGAACTCTCTGGAAGTCGGGGCTCAAATTATTCATTTACTGTCATTCTTGCTGGTGGGCAGTATGATTTCAAAGAGATGGTCATTTTAGGAGGACGTTATTATTTTGTTTGTCTTCCTGGAAGTTCCGCAGTGCTAAGGTGCAGCAAAGAGTTCTATTTCTCTAATGGGTCTTTTTTATTTGAAAACGTTCATTTCAAAAAACGTTCGCACTCAGTCTGCGATCAACAAAACGAACTGCTTACGATAATGTTAGGAGGATCACATCAGGCTACTACAAAAGTGACCACCGGAAATGAACACGAGCTCAGTCCTTTGATAGAGGCAAATGATGTTAACTTATTACTGATGGACCACTGCTTTATCACCGGTGCTATCAGTTCAGGTATAATGGTGAAGTCGCACGAGCGTGACCAAACGATCGTTTCATTAAGGTCTTGCGTCATAAGAGGGTGTAGCGGGTATGCCCTGGTATTTAAGGGAGGTACAACAAGTTGCCACCTTAGTATTTGTGACAGTGCCATTGATCACAATCTTTATGGTATTGTAATAAATTCCCCAACGCGTTTTTATATGGAAAGGAACTACATTTGTTTTAACTTTCAGTCGGGTATTGTGGCCATTGGAGGTTGCAGTGGAGGATTACTAAGAAATTCGTTGATTTGGAATAATCGACATGGCATTTTTTTCGAGAGGTCAAATGCAGTAATAGAGGAAAATACTATTTACAAAAATTGTGGCTGGGGAATTGTGTGCTGTGCTGGAAGCAAAATAACGTGCAAAGAAACCGCGTTTGACAACAATTACTGTGGAGGACTCAATATGATTTGTAACGGAATGGGGAATGTTTCAGTTAAGAGATGCAACTTCACAGATAATCTTGGTCCTCATGTTTTTCCTATTAAAACAGAAAAAAATTGCCCTTTCGAGTTTCCCATGACGTTTTTCATGAAGAATTTCTTCGAATTCACGAAACTTGACAAATCTGACTACGCTGATGAATTCAAGGGTCCAGAGCTTCACTGCAACAGAGTATCGAATGATTGTAACACATTTTTTTGCTACAAACCAAAGGTATGCTTTCAGTGTGACGGTGATCTTCCAATTAATGAAAGATTGATTGAATGCCCGAGTTGCCATGTTGCAACTTACTGTACAAAGCAGTGCTTTGACACTGCCTCAACTGTCCATTCTTCTGTTTGTAACTCCATCCTTGAAGCAAATAAAGAGTGCAAACCTCTGCGGCCACTGACCAACTCGCCAGTTAAAGGGATTCGCCAACATGGCATTTCGTTGTGCATTATTGTAGCTGTGAATACGTCATTAAAAGGATCAACTGAGTTAGAGGTTTCTTTTCATCACTGTCTCCTAACTTGTCCGCAGCGGAACCTCTACACTGTGCTGCAATCGCTAAATATCCACAATTATGTAATGATTCATGGAAGTCCCGTACAAGAAACCATGGTGGGCATCAAAGCAGCTTGCATTTTGGCAAAGTTTGATTCTGAACCCGAATCCGTCACTGTTTATAGTCATCGTATCTTTCCTGTCGAGAAAGTGCCAAATGCTTTGAATTGGGTCAACAAAACATTACATTTGTTTGCAGAATCCCATCAATAAGGAGCGACGTCGTAAGAACTGACAATGTGAAAAGAGGTTCGTGCAGAGACCTAGCAATTTTGAAGGGAGGTTTGTTACATTCGTTGACTTGTTTTAGTAATTAGCAATGACGTGTAAAGAAAGAACACTGCGTGCAAGCATTAAAAGTGTCGACTGTTGCTTCACCTAAAACAAACAGCTATTCGTGACATTCAAACCGAGATTGAAATTTTTATGATTATTCAACGCGAGTCACTATGAACATTAGATGTGGGTGATACAATCGTGATGTACAATAGACTCTTCCACCTTTTTTTTTTCAATTTTGGACAAGGACCATTAAGGGAAATATCCATAGGCATCGTTGGAATAAGTGCCTTAAAATTAGTAACGTGTCAATGTCAGAAAGGAGAGAAGATAAGGTATGTTGCCCAGCTTCCATTGTTCGGGCCGGAAAAAAATTGTTGGCCTCGTTCTTACTTCGGACTCTTTCGTTGTGAACTGAATTATTAGAGACCTTTAGATTCGAGGAGGAGTACGACTACGAGAACGACTTGTGACTAAAAGTTTGTTTTTTGCGTATTCACAAAAAATATACACCCCGGAAAGCTTCATTTTACATTTTTTCCCATCAGAAAAGTCAGCACGGCTATTTGAAGGAGGTAAAGCCTTCTCCCGATCGCAAAACGATAAAACTTTTAACATGTGATAACTTGCTTCCGTCACTACGACATTTTTGCTAAAACCTGTAGCAGAATGATGACAGCTAACTCGTTTCTCCGCCAACGTGACGCAGGTTTACGCGTGTGCACTATTTAGAATTGACAAAATCTCGTTCTCGTAGTCGTCCTCACCTTAGAATCGTAGGTTGTTTACCATTTACATGGGCTAACCGGTCGGTTGACAGTTTGGGCGAATGGTAAGAAGAATTCAGGACTGCTAAATTTCATCCCGGAGTTGTGTTTACCATTTACACAACTGGTATCTAAATGGGTTTTATTACCAATTGGAACGCGAATTCTGTTTGAAACATTCCTTCCGGAAAAAATAGGACTCAATACCTTTTTAGTTGTTACGTTGCTCCCGGAAATTTTCCTCTGGAACCACACAAGAAAAGCCGTGTTCCATTTGCTTTCCAACCGTATCTTCTGAAAACGTTTTGTAAATAGACAATATTCCCCCACCCCCTGACCCCATGAACTGACTATACATCATACCTTAAAAATCTCTCAGATACGGTACTTTCAGAAAAATAAATAGATTCAAACCTTTTATGTATTTCGTGTGCTACGATTTTATTTTTTTTAGTGTTTTTTTGTAAAATAGCTCTTAGACTAAAAGGTCTCTATTCTGAAACTAGACTCGCTGAAAGGCGAATTTAACTGGGCTGCCATGGCGATTTTGTTCTGAGGGGAGGCACAGGCTACAATAAAACCCATGACACACACCCACACGGGGAAGAGATGATCAATAGACGATAATCTATAACGTGACTGATCTGATCTGATTCCAAAAATTATTGACGCTTATAAAGTGTGACAGGGTCAATTTTGGTGTTTTAAATACTTTTTAATTTTCTGTTTCTTAAAAATCGCCAAGTAAATTAAGTTTCAGTTTTATTTCTGTGTGATGTTGAATTTAAAGCCCATCCTAACTATCCAAGAGAATATGTTTCTATTTGACGGGGTGATCTACAAATAGCATATTCCTTTCTGAACCCTGTCTTTCAAGGAAAGACTTTTCACACGCAGGAGTTAAAACCCTGCATGAACTTTACCTCTTCACATTTAAAGTGTACGTATTCAGAAAACTTTCAGTAAAATACGGGTTGTGTACTTAATTTGGTCGGACGACTCTTTTTTATCCTAATTCGAATTTTAGACCTTTAAAAAAGCGTGAGTTGCACTAAACAGAAAGAAATCAATCTTTAAACAGACTCTTCGAAGATGGACAAACATGCTTTATGGATAAGGCAACGCACTCTAGGTTACTAAGTCAATAATTGATAGTGTTTATTTTTTGACGGAGAAAATCCCTGTTGGGGAAGGGGGGCAAGGTACTCTAATACATTTTCCTTGTAGGTATTGGTCTGAAATAGGGTCAGGATTTGGGGAGCCGGACGACATAATCCCGCCACGAATTCCCAGTAATACCGCCCCCCACCCCCCGGGAGAAAATCGAAGGTATTTTATAAACTGGGCCCTCCCTGAGGTGACCTGATATCAGGCGTTGTTATCATTATTTTTTCTTTTTGCTTCTCTGTTTTTTTGACTCATGAGGGAAAAAAATAACGCCTGATACATTCATTTAACACGCCGTCAACCGCCCGTTAATTTACATAATCTAACGTCTGCTTGACCTCTCGTGTTATTAGCCAATCAGCCTTTACCAGACAGGAATCAAATTTTGGCGCGAATAATGTCTCTTTTGAAATTAATTTAGGGAAAAGATAATTTTTAAATACGTCCATGTTCAGATGGCGCGCCTAATTTATTTTATTTTATTTTTTTTTTTTGGTGCTGCCTTACCCTTTTTAGCTACAAATAATAAAAAATTAACTGGTAAGTTTTTTAACTTCGTTGTGTTCCAAAAGTAATGAAAAAAAAAAATTTAGGCTGGTACACCATATTTCAAGAGCTAGAAAGTGTTGCGAAAGCGAAGATCACTCAGAATAATTCGCAGGTTTCTGAAGGAGGAATTATAGTCAAGCCAGGTCAAGATTCCATTCACGAATGATCGTGACTGAAACACCACACGACTACATACGAGTAACCTACGACTACATACGAGTACATACCAGGCATACGGGTACACACCAATGACATACGAGTAACATACGAGTACATACGAGCAACATACGGCTAACATACGAATACACACGGGTAAAAAAGTAAAAAAAGAAAGTAAAAAAGGACGACTCGAAGCAGAGACACCAGGCATACAAGGAACAGGAACACCAACAAAAGAGAGAAAAAGTGAGAGGAAGACAAGACAAGAAAGAAAAGAAAAGGAAACGAGGAAAAGATAGAAGGACAAGGACAAGAAAAGACGAAAAGAGGAAATTAGGAAAGACATAGTATAAAGGAAGGAAAGAACTTGAGAAAGTGCACGCTGGTCGACAGTCTGCGCAACCTATCACATTACGTTAAACTTCAGCGAAGCTGGGAATTTTTCGATCAAGCGATTTCGTGGCCTGCTATGAAAGAATACCATTTTCCTTAAACCGATTTTCCACCATTTCCATGCAATGAAGAGAAAGGGAAATTGAAATAACGGATAAATAACCAGCTGAAAATACAGATCGTTCATAGTCAGTGATTTTATTTTATATTTTCATAAACATGAACATATAACGCTAGTTAACGTGGTTCATTACTGGCCATAAAGTTTTTCTATGACCTATGACTGCATGAACATATGCTACATTTTTTAAGCCTACTTTTATTAGCCGTGCTTTTTTGTACTCTTTATTGGATTGTTGCAGTGACACGTTATCGATGTCTGTCACCCTTGTAACTTTCTTGAGGGCAGTTTCGTTATCAGCTTTCGTAAGCTGAATTCGAAACTAGATTAAGGTAGTCATATATAACATAGCAAAGTGTTTCTAGTAGTGTAACCTCTCTTGATGAATTGTCGTTTCATGAACATATGTTACAGTTCTATTGTCTTTTAAAAGCTTTTGACTTTTATTGCCCACTTTATTGTGCTCCTTTATAATTTTTGTAGCATTGTACATTATTAATGGTTGATAGCTGACAGCCACCCAAAAAGAAAGAATTTGGTCTCCCTTGTAACTTTTTTTAGGGCCATTTCGTTATCACCTTTTGTAAGTTGAGCATAATTAATAATTAATTATTTAATAATTTGTGAGTGCTTGGCAACAAGTTATCTTGCTGCACGGACAGTTATTTTGATTGTTTTTGGTTAAGTGTTGTAAATTAAGACCCACAAATGTCGTGGAATAAACAACTTGTTAAAGTTTATCTTTTTGAAAGCCGATATAAGATCATTGCTGCTTATATGTTACTCTTTTCCATTTTTTTCCTGCTCCTACTTTTTTTTTCTGTTGTGATTTAAGCGGTAAATCAAACAAATGCAATCAATTTAATAGCCCTTCTCAGCTGGTACGTATTGCGGCTTTCCAAATTCAGACTACATGATGCAGTCTCAAGAAATTTGTACTTTGTCTTTTTATATTTTATATGTACGAGAACAAGGCGGAATTCTAAAGAAAACTCTCTCTAGAGTAACATCAAGTGGCCTGAGTAGGAAAACATAATGTAAAATCAAAAAAGTGCTATTCAATCCATTTTTCTCCCGTGTTCGAAATACGTTTGCACGACCCGAGATAGAATGGGTGAGTTGGGGGGGGGGGGCGCCCGAATCTTTTTCTTTCTCTTTAAATATATATTTTTTTTCAATTTTTTGTTTTTTCAAAAATTTTCTCCAATTTTGCCATTACAAGAAAATGGTAGGAAATCGGTTTACAGAAATGGTATTCATTATTTGAAGGCGCCGTTAAATTCGCTTGATGGAATAATTTCCAGCTTCGTAACGTGATAGTGCGCAGACTGTCAACCAACGTACTTTCATTCATTCTTCCTTTGCTTTCTTGTGTTGGTGTTCCTGTTCCTTATGTGCCTGGTGTCCCTGCTTCGAGTCGCACATTTTTACTTTCTTTTTCTACTTTTTTACTCGTATGTATTCGTATGTTACCCCGGTTGCTCGTATGTACTCGTATGTGACCCTTATGTTACCCGTATGTACTCGTATATTACTCGTATGTACTCGTGCTGTGTTTTTATAGTCACGATCCTCATGAATTGATTATTTGAAAAGTGAATCCGTTTGTCGTTTCCGAATAAACTTGTACCCGGTATGAAATTGCATTCAAATGATCGGTGAATTTTTGACTGCAACTTTTTTGTATACGAATAGATGAAACATGTTTCAATGGATGAAATTTCTATTTAGACATTCTTCAAGTGCAAGAAAACTGAGCCGGCAGAAATTTCATAACAAACTCGCGTGTGTATTGACTGTTCATTGCGCAAGCAAAAATGCAGACTGAAATCAACAACAACTAACGGATGGCAGCATTTTGGCCAATCGGAACAGCGCAAATCATCCATATTGTTTCCTATCCAATAAGAAAGAAGTCCAGATTCTGGCTTTCTTTTCATGTGAGTTAGTCACATCTGAGTTAGTCAATTATCTGCTAGCATTTAACTGACTAATCTGTAGGTTGCGCTGATTTCTAAAATTAGTTGCAGGCTCGTAGCCAATCAGAAGACAGATGGTGAGTACAAT